TTTTAACAGCGGTTAGTTTTAAAGTATTAAAAGCAATAACTTTCAATTCACGTGTAATCCGTTTTCCCCAACGGCTGCAATACTATGCCTTTTCGCAAGAGTGTGTTTTTAAGTGTTTAACAAGGTGAGATCTTTGTGTGAATCGTTGCTTGCAGGATTCACAGTGATATGGTCTCTCCCCAGTGTGTGTCCTGATGTGTTTAATGAGGGTACTTTTTTCAACAAAACGCAGCTTACAGAAATCACAATTGTACGGTCTCTCCCCAGTGTGGGTCCTCATGTGTGCGACAAGGTTACATTTGACAGTAAAACGTTGCTTGCAATCGTCACACTTAAAAGGTCTCTCCCCAGTGTGAGTCCTGATGTGTCGAACAAGGTTACTTGATTTAGAAAAACGCTGCTTACAGAAGTCACACTTATAAGGTCTCTCCCCAGTGTGTGTCCTGATGTGTACAAGCAGGTCACTTTTGTAGGCAAAACAATGCTTGCATATGTCGCATTGGTACGGTTTTTCAACAGTATGTACGCTCCGTTCTGCACCGTTCTGCTTCGCCTTGGCACCAGGTTCTTCGGTCTTGCGGGCGTCACTGGTATCGCTGTTCGATGCCAGTGCGCTGCCCACCAATTGCTGACTGTCCTCTGCGTCGCCCTCCAAGGCCTTGCTGTCGGTGATGTCCCCGGGGTCGTGCTCGGGGCGGCTGCGGAGCGAGTAGCACCCAGTGACCAATAGCCTCAGCCGCTCGTCCTTGACACCAGCGTTGGGATCATCGCCGTGGTCGACAGCGCACGTCTCAGCCTTGATATCCAGATTCTCTTCCCAGTCGACGGACTCTCGTCCTGGAGTTGTAGTACCGGGCCCAGCACCTATCAACAGGAAAAGCACAGCGTTAGAGTTCGGATGGGCCAACTGCACAGGGACCACACCGCCACCAACATGCGCGTGAAGAGCAGAGGTACGGCTGTTAGCTCAAAGCGGAGGCGGAGATACCGCGAGTAGAAGAAAAAGCGGCGCCGGGAACAGCAAGAAACTTTCAATGCGTGCAGCAGAAGCAGAGACTTAAGACACAATTTAAATGGTTTTGCGTGCCACTCGTCTTTCTGTTGTTATCCAGAGGAAGAGAGCACTCAGCGATCAATCAGCGATAAGTACAAATGAAACAAAATTTATTGAAACGATAAATGTTTTTCGGAAATGTTGCATATTTCAAATGATTTACATCAACACATTGCAACCAAAAAAAATGTAAACTAAATGCTTCTTCATAATGAAATTGACAAAATTGGTTAAATCTTCGACACAAAATGGCCACATCAGTAAAGAACGCAAAATACAATGATTCGAGACTTATTGAAATACACTAGAAGGGTACAAAAGACCAGAGTTCACATATTATGAGCCGTTATCTTTCAGAAAAGACAGTTGAACGAAATACCTTGGCTATATCGTGGTTCAGACATAATTTTACTTGCCTAACAAAGATCTCCAACGTGATTTAACTGCGGTTAGTATATAAGTATTAAAATCGATAACTTTTGATTCAAGTGTAATCCATTTTTCCCATCGGCTGCATTACTATGCCTTTTCCAAAGAGTGTGTTTTTAGGTGTCTTACAAGGTGAGATTTTTGTTTAAATTGTTGCTTGCAGATGTCGCACTGGTAAGGTCTCTCCCCAGTGTGTGTCCTGATGTGCCTCTCAAGCGTACGTTTTGCAGAAAAACTATGATTGCAGATGTCGCACTGGAAAGGTCTCTCCCCAGTGTGAGTCCTGATGTGTTTATTGAGGGCACCTTTTTCAACAAAACGCTGCTTACAGAAGTCACAATTGTACGGTCTCTCCCCAGTGTGCGTCCTCATGTGTGCGACAAGGTTACATTTGACAGCAAAACCCTGCTCGCATATGTCGCACTGGTAAGGTCTCTCACCAGTGTGTGTCCTGATGTGATCGACAAGAGTTTTTTTTATAGCAAAACGCTGCTTACAGAAGTCACACTCATAAGATCTCTCCCCAGTGTGTGTCCTGATGTGTGCAACAAGGGTCCTTTTGACCGGAAAACAATGCTTGCAGATGTCGCATTGGTACGGTTTCTCAACAGTATGTACGCTCCGTTCTGCACCATTCTGCTTCGCCTCGACAGCAGGTGCTTCGTTCTTGCGGGAGTCACTGGGGTCGCCGTTCGATGCCAGTTCGCTACCCGCCGATTGCTGACTGTCCCCTGCGTCGCCCTCCAAGGTCCTGCTGTCGGCAATGTCCTCGGGGTCTTGTTCGCGGCGGCCGCGGAGCGAGTAGCACCCAGTGACCACTAGCCTCAGCTGCTCGTCCTTGACGCCAGCATTGGGATCATCGCCGTGGTCGACAGCGCCCGTCTCGGCCTTGATCTCCGGATTCTCCTCCCAGTCGAAGGATTCTCGTACAGGTGGTGTACCGGAGTCGGCATCTGTCAACAGCAAAAGCAA